GCCCCCACCCCCGTGTGTCATATCGACCCACTTGCACACAGCCAAAAGGCAAAGAGGCAAAGAAAAGAGGAAGGGAACAGCCAATATAACAAAACAGGAGGAACAAACATAATCAAATCCTAGATGACAAGTCCCACATGCAAGCACCCCCCCCGTCCTACACCGGCCAAACCACGGGCCAAGACCAACCAAGGATGCCAAATCATTCTTGTCTGCAAAGAAATAAAAAAAAAGTACCAAAAAGAACCCATCCCGGATGACGATTCCCACGTACAAGCACCGCCCCGCGCTCAAAGCGCCGAACAACGGGAAACAACCAACCAGGATACCAAGACAAAAAAAAAAAAAAACGGATGACTAGTCCCACATGAAGCCTGTCTCTTATACACATCTAGATGTGTATAAGAGACAGCCTCCTCCTCCTCCTCCTCCTCCCCTTCCTCCTCCAAGGCGGATCAGGGAAGAAGGCTCCTGAGGAGCGCAAAAGATGTTCAATGTGGCGGAGACGCGTCGGGGAATGTGCGCGTTTCTTCTGGGTTCAGTGCATGTGGACTTGATTGTTAATCTGTAGAATCATGTACCAAAGACAGTGTTTGGTCTCCTCCCCCTCCCCCGCCCCCCCCCAAAAAAAAAAACAAAAAACAAAAAAAAGGCGGCAGCAATATTTAGCCTCTTTTTATCGCTGTTCGATACTTTTAAGTGGTCACTGTAGGGGCCTCGCTCCACTACTCGCCAAATGCGCAAAATGAGAATGAATGCTCCGCTAGAACATGGGAAGATACACCGCCTATTTTTTTTTGTCTTTGTGCCTCTTGTCCGTACTGCGGATCGAGGCTCTGGGTTTCGTTTCCCCTCTTTCTTCTGGTCTCTCATATATATCGTAGCTGTCCTATCTGCCGAGGTGGGGACAGGTAAAGAAAAAAAGAAGAAAAGAAAAAGAGACAAAAAGAAAAAGGAGAAAATAAGAAAAAAAGCAAAGATATGTTGATCTGTGGGATGTGTTATTTGCTTTGTGACAATTGGATTATCTTTCTTTCCTCTGTGAGGTTTGATTTCCTCCTCCTTTTCTTTTTTTACCTCTTTTTTGCCTTTCGGCTGCGTGCAAGTGGGTCCTTGTGACACACGGGGATGGATTGGGGCAGCCAGCGCTCAAACTGTCATCCACGTGGCTGGCCTTGTACGTAAGAGGTGATGAACAGG